GCGTTACCGGCGAATTCTGTCTACCGTTAAAAGAGAAATTTGGGACTGATCAAAAGAATTGGTATTCATGCATCCCGTACGACACGCCCGGCCACCAAGCCGATTTGCACGAAGACGTCGCCGAGCCGTCGCTCCCTTCTCGTGGCTGAAGACATCGCTCGCGCAAACGTCAAGCACGACGTGTCTACTTCGAGTTGAATACGCACGCGTACGATTTCTTTACTAGGTGCGAATGTCCCCAAAGCGTGGTGCTTCCCGAATTCGACCCGGGAGTGCTTTTGCTAGAGAAAAATCGACAGCAAACTTTCAAACTTACAGTTTACCGGCCGAATTATTACTAAGGAAAGAGATCCACTAGTAAAGAGATACTCCAGTAGCTCAGTGGGAAAGACGTCCGGTTCACATGCGGTGGGACCGGGTTCGATCCCACGGGAAACTTTATTTTTTTTTTTTGAAACATTTTCCGATGTTTACATATCTTTTTTTTTTTTTTTTTTTTTTTTTTACAATGAACACTGAAGAAACAAACAAAAAATAACAAGCAAATGTTGTGGACGATACTTCGCTGAATTAAATGGTATGGGATTTCCTTTTTGACACCTGCGAACTCAATGTAATCACTTTCCATCCACAAAATGCAAGGAGCATATAAATCAGGTAGCGTCCGCTTTCCGAGGTGCCCGTATATGTTCTACAGGAATTGCAGCCAGCCACTGGTCCCGATCCCGTTGATCTTTCGGAAACTGTCGCACAATGCCACTTTTTTTCGAATGCAGGACATGTGAGCCAGCTCTTCACGCAAAATCTTGGGTGTATTCTTTTCGGAGCCGATCATGGAAATTCACAACGGGCACTCACTACTCATCTCCAACTCCTCAATGTACAAAACAACTCATCTTGGAGTACAGAACAACGAGCGGAACAAACATAACCGCTAAAGAATCGCACGGCGAGCAGTTCCCGCACGCCGCATCGCACGCCGCATGTCGTGTCGTCTGCTACGGAGAGGAGAAAAAAAAAAACGCACGGTCGGGTGTAGCCACGTGACTTCCGCCACTCACTCTCTTCTCTCCACTTCTCCGACCTCCGTCGGGTTTCGGTTTCGGTTTCGAGCAGTTGCGTCTTTTGGCTTTATTAAAAAAATACGCTACTTTGTTGCAAAATATTAATTAGGTAGTCCTCCGACACCATAATGAAGCACCTGGCAAAAAATGAAAAAAAAAATATTTTTCGGGGGGTGTCAGTGTCCCTTAAACTTTCGGGACCTCTATGGCATTGCGTCATTATGACCTTCATGATATTGTGCCAGTTTAATGGTTTGCATGTCGATCAGAACTTCCAGCATCTCCGATTGGTTGCGTAGTTAAACTATTTTTTTTTTAATAATTAAAAAGAGGTAAAAAGGAAATAAGAATAGAGTGCTTGTCATTCCTATAAGGGGACGGCTTTCACATACTATGGAACAGACAAAAAAGGAGAGAATGGGAGCAGGGGAAAAGAGCGGCAAGAGATACGTTCGAAGAGTACAGTGCGCCCCAAACTTAAAGCCGCCACTCGAACGCCCGACTTTCGCGGAGCCGCGCTATCCTAGCGGCAGCCGTTTCAACTAGTCGGTCACGTGAAAGCAATTCCCTATCTACGGACCGAGGGAAGGGAAGGTAGCAGGGCCGCCGCTAAGGTCGCCTGACTCTGCGAATCACAAACTCGTATCGTTAGACGGGATTTTTTTTTCTTTTGCGTTTTGTTTCCACCTTTAGGACTGATAACAAAGACAATTTTATAATGCTTCGTAAAGGAGAAAGCTTGAAGGCGCTGCTAAATTGCAAAAAAGCGCACCAAAAAAAAGCGATTTCGACGATCTGAGTCTGTGATTCGCATAGTGAGGGGCCCTTAGCGGTGGCCCTGCTACCTCCCCTTCCCCCGGTCCGGAAATTGGGAATGGCCTTCGCGTGACCGTCTAGTTGAAACGACTCCCGCCAGGATAGCGTCTGTCCGCTGAAGTCGCGCGTTCGAGTGGCAGCGTTATGTTTGGGGCGCACTGTACATATCAGTAGTATTAGGTTCAGACATTATTTCCTTTCATTTTTTTATCAACTAAAAACCTGCACATGCTCATGATTCTGAACCATGAAATCCGCGAAGAAGCCCTAAGTAGGCAGGCGTTTCGCGGCCACCTACGTCTGCCCTGGGGAAATCTCAGACAGCAGACCCTGCAGAAAAGGGGCCCTCCTTCTTGTACCCGCCGTCGCTCGGGTAGGCTCACAGCCGTCATACGCGACAGTGGTACGGGCTTTAAAGGCGAACCGGCGGAACAGTGACGCAAGACGACATAATCAACGTTCCAAATTGATATGCAAGGGTTCGTCACGACAAAAGCCGTCCACGAAACGTGGCAAAAACAGACGATAAAACGAACTAAGCCTCGTTTTGTTCGAGGCCTACGAAACAATCTGGCGATGAAACGTCCTTCTACGAGTCATAACGCTCAGATTCTGGTGTCATAACGCTTTACATGGGCACGGTTATCGTGTAATGACACGATAACTGGTGTCATAACGCTCAGATTCAACTCGACATTTAGGGCGCCGATGCAAAAAGGCGGTGGCAGTTTGTTTTACTTACCAACTAAGACGCCGATGTTGCAACCTGTTTGCAAACGTAAACACGGTGAAGCAAACATAAAACTTGGACGACGACGCTTTTTTCATTAGATGGACCGATGGTACCAACTTGCACGCGCGGCTTAACAGCCGAGTGATACAATTGATTAGAAGAGTTCACAGGAAAAATCACTCGCTGTTCTGCTGGCCCTACCAATCTGTACGTATCTCCCGTAAGCGCGAAGACAATGAGTCGCCGTTCCTCGCTACCCTAGTAAAAAAAGTCATTTTTATGAGAAATTTCTTGTGTCCAATAAACACATATGAATCATACAAGGTATATAAGAACATACAAGAACATATAAGAACCATATAAGTATTATATGAGAACTATATAAGAATTATATAAGATATATAAGAACCCCATAAGAAACTTATAAGAAAGTTCCCACTAGTTTCTCATATGGTGCTTGTGTGTTCTCATATATCTTATATAGTTCTTATATAGTTCTTATATGGTTCTTATACGGTTCTTATATGTTCTTATATATCTTGTATGATTCATATGTGTTTATTGGACACAAGAAATTTCTCATACAAATGAGAATTTTCAGTAGGGTATGACGCCATGTTGGTCTGTTGAACCAGTGTTGCCCCCTCAGTTGTTGCATTTGGTAGCGTTCCAAACCTTCAAACTGAAACAATTCACGTTTTGCGAAAAATGGTCTTAACTTAAAACATTCTTTCGGTAAGCGAATATTGTAACGGAACAGCATAAAACTCTCTTATTTTTGCTATTTTACATCATTTTAAAGCTGTGAATGAAAGGCAGCTACAATCGAGCCACATCCAATCCATATATAGCTAATCAGTCGAAGACGTTGGCGTGCGTACGTGTACAGTGCCCTAGAAGTTGGGTAGTGGGCTCACCACCCTATCTCCCCCGTGTATTGCGCTGAAGCGGCCGATGCCGAAAACGCCAAAGGTAAAGCCAGCGGCCGCTAGGGGCGCAGCAGTAGATTCCTCCTGAAAAGAAAGTGAAACGAGTTTTTTCCAAACACGCTCAGTGCTCAAATTTATATAGTTAAGTTACCATCATTGATCCAGAGGCAAATACGAAACAAACGATTGCTAAGAGCCGCCTAGCCGACATTGTCTTGCCTATGCGCGCTGGAAAGGTTCAGGAGGAAACGCTTACAGCGCCACTGCTGCATCGACATCAAGCGCGTCAGACCGAGCGGCCCCGTGTGCCACTACAACTCTCTCGTCCACTGTAGTACGTGTGCACACGCCGATATTTTGGGAGAGAAGGATACGATTGACGTGAATACAAGTACGCCGTTTAAATGGCCACCAGGTGAGTCTGCCTGGTGGCTGTTAGTGAGCACGATACACCATCATAAACCTTTTCTTTTTCGCTTAGTGCATATCCAGCCGGCAGCAGCTAGGTGGCCCCAGCAGACGGATAGCCCAAGGTTACACCCTGTCTCGTTGAAACTTGGCAAAGGGTGAACGATAAGCCCCACATTGCGTGCCGACGACTTCGACATGTGCTGCGTATAGACCTTTGCTAAAATCGCCTTCTGAGCGCTGCCATTGTTTGTTTGCTGGGCTGTGGAACACTTTGTGGACATGCGCTCTTGCTATTTCCTTACAAACGGCGCCAGCCGGACAAAAATAGTAAAGGAATTGGAGGCCGGAAAGATGCATAGGAGAGGAGGTTAAGAGAGCAGTAACCCGTTTTCCGAGCTTCCATATCTCGCTTAAGGCTGATACGCCACGTGGTATCAAAACCTGGAACTAGGCCGCGTTGTCCCGGTATCCTGGCCATATTGATATACTGCTAGGAGACGGCAACGTTTCAAGAAACTTTGCATTAATAAAATACGCTTTAAAAAAAGAAGTACAATGAACAATATACCATGCACGCGCAGAACCCTGGCAATGCCTTTTACTTTTTATGTCCATTTTACAGCCCGACAATTTGGAGGAGGCATTTCGTTTCCTTTGAAGGACTCAATTATTTTAAAAAATTAATTGGATCTCCTCCACGTGCAGTACGATAGATATCCGCTGCAGCTCCCGGAGCGGATATCCTTCACTGCACGCGGAGGACATCAATTTTCGTTTTAATGATTGAGTTCACTAAAGCCGTTTTCGAATTGCTAGGCTGGAAAATAAGCATAAAAAAGGGTATTGACCGGGTTCTGACGTAGGCTGAATTCGCCCGCGCCGGGTATAAATTTTAGTCTTTATTGTGCCATTTATATATAAACCATTGCGCTGCCATTACTTCTCGGATACCACTTAGCTGAGAGGTTGCAACGTTATTGCTTATTATAAGCAGTGAGAATCTAAATGTTAGAGTTTCGTATTATTAAGAAAAACGATTCTTAAACTATGATGTTGCTAATGTCTGCGATGACAGCCATTTTCGTCATATCTCTAACCGGAGCTATGGGAAAAAATACCTGCACGGACCCTAGGGGCCGTTTAGCATGGAAGGTATAAAAAGGTTTCTTTTTTTTAACTAAAGTTTGTTTTTCGATTGTGTAAAATAGGGGAATGCAGTGTACCAAGATGATGTGGCCTAACCGTACCTATTCTCTTTCTTAGGCTTTAGTGTCCACAGACAAAGGGCACATGTTGTACACCGGATTTAATGCATCGGTATATGTGTGCACATACATATCGACAATTAGTAAGGACAGCAGTACGATGTCAATAACTGGCTACTTCATATATCAAATCAACGATCTTCCTGTCGTGTAAGTACCTTGACTGTTTGTTATTATTCTTACTATGCCAACTCAAACTTCGTGAGATTATTCGATTGTAGCATTTCGATGGATGGCATTATTTGTAATATTTATCGCATCTTAAAAAAATACTACTGGACGTTTCTGAGTGAGGCCTTGTAGAGAGACAGGCAGGTTCGCTGTAATATTTATGAAGGGGGATTACTGCTCATGAAGGTGCAGCTGATTCAAAAGCGTTCAGATACTTGTTCTCGTAATGTTTATTTTCGTCGAAGTAGTTCTCCCTCGTCACAGGCCCTATGTTTTGTCATCTGACATCAATATTCCCAACTAAAGTTTCTTCTTACTGCAAAGCTTAAGACCGACTAATGTCTCCTGATGTTGATTCCTGTGTCTGTCGTGCTAGTTCCCGAGTCTGTTACTCTTTCGACGTCACTCGCTCTTTTAAGCTTCTTTTTGTCGACAATGTGTGGCGCTAACTGCATTTGGCTTCGCGATGTGGCGACATCATGTTGTTTAGTGTTCAGATTGTCTTTATTGCGCTATTTCATATGTTTGTTTTTGCCGTAGTAGCGTCTTGTCGGTCGTAATAACCTCTGTGGCCCTAATCTACACGGTGAAACCAAGCAGGACCATGGGACCGGCACTTCACCGCCTGCTGCGATTGGTCAGTGGTGTAGAGCTGATCAATCAAAACAGGAGGCTATGTCCTGGTCCCTTGGTCCCGCTTGGTACCACCGTGTAGACTAGGGCCCCTGGTATCATCGCACCTGTAACGCAGCAGTGTGAGGGATATTATGGGCTGCAATAAAATGCTTAGATGGGCCAGTTAGTACATCATGGGAAATAAGCGCCAGAAGAACAGGGACAAAGAGTAGAATAACAACGACACGGGGCGGACTCTCAACTGAATTTATTAGGAAAAAACACAAACTTATATACCAAAGAGAGCACACCATCAGACACAACACGAAACGTTAGTCCCCGCCCAGACCACGTTTCAAATATTCAAACTCATCCATAGACAGAGCCAGAGTTGTATCGCTAATGCATTTTTCACCCCTACTCCGAATCTCAAATGCCTCGTGAAGCTCGCGCGACACTTTGTTTTTGTACTTCGCCGATATTTTAGTGCTGTCAAATGACGGGGCGCAAACGCATCTGTTGCAATGAACAGCCAAATGCCCTGACGGTGTGGTTCTAGTTGAAGCGGCGTGCTCGCGGACCCGATCATTGATACATCTTCCAGTTTGCCCTACATAGCTTAAACCGCACTTCATTGGGATTTTGTAAACGACGGCGGTTTTGCAATCAGTTGTATTTATTCCTACGCTTGGTATTGCACGGGTCTGTTATCGGTTGGGAATCATTGACCTAATGAAGGTGAAGGACCGCGCGCTGGACTTGTGCCGCTCCTTGGAGCTACCCACGGTCCTGAAAAATGTGAAAGCCAGCAGGAAATTGATTTTGGACCTATTTTTCACCGCTAAGACTCATAAACCTGAGTGTCCTTTCAGGGTGATAGTGCCAGAGGGAGGCACGTGACAGTCGCAGATAAGCGACTATTTGCGCAATAATTGGTCTGGGTTAAAACTGGATGGCCCGTTTGCCGCAAGAAACTCGGAGTGCGTCTTTGAATTTCAGAGCGCAGCTCTTAGGGGCGCATTCCCGGCTTGAGCGGCGTCGCCGTCGCCGTCGGCGTAACCAAGGTCACCCCAAAGTCGCGTGACTCCCAAGGTCATCCCAAGGTCACGTGACCCCAAGGTCATCCCAAAGTCACGGGACCCCCAGATCACCACAAGGTCACGTGACCCCCAAGGTCACGTGACGCCTCCCCCAGGGTCACGGGACACCCCGAGGTCACGTGACCCCTCCCCCAGGGTCACGTGACCCCCAAGGTCACGTGACACCCGAAGTCAAGTGACTCCCCAAGTCACGTGACTCCTTAAGTCACGTGACCCTCCCCTAGAGGTCACGTGACACCCCTCCCGAGGTCACGTGACCCCCGAAGTCACGTGACCACTCTGAGGTTACGTGACCCCCCTCAGAGTCACGTGAACCCCTCCCCGAGGTCACGTGACCCCCTCCCCCGAGGTCACGTGACGCCCCTCCCCCCGAGGTCACGTGACCCCCCCTCAGTACCCTTATAATAGTAACAATAACTTTATTTTCCAAATGAATTGGAGGGGCAGAAGGGAAAAAGCCTCCAAAGGAGGCTTGACGAGCCCGAAGCCCCATACGGTGACAGGCGCAGCAGCACAAGAAGAAAAAGAAGAAAGAAAAAAAAAAAAGAAAAAAGAGGCGCACACACGCATATACATAAGAAAGACAAAAAACTTCATCAGAATTATTATAAACACCACAGAGTAGACACTGTTGTAGCCCTAAAAATAATATTATACAGTTCAAACAAACAAGTAGTAAATAGGTAACATAGTAGGCATCGATGAAGAATCACAAGCGCAAATAGAATGAACGCAAATCTTTAGTTGATATGGAGTCTAAACAAATTTCGTTGCTGGCGAGGTAGTTGAGCAATTTAGATATAGTGTAACGTAGAGTTTGTGTACCATAGTTTGTCTTACAGCCGGTAACCTTCCAATATTCCATGTGTCGGGTTAAATAAACGTGATCGTTCTGCACTAACTCGGATAAGTCTGACAAGAAACGCGTATTTTTTTTTGTTCTCGAGTTTTAAGCTGATGCATAATCTATAGTCATAGAGGTTAAATATTTTTAGCATTCTGAACTTTTGAAACAAAGCCTCACTATGGTAATCATAAGGCACATTACAAATAATTCTCAATATTTGTTTTTGCGATAAATATAGTTTCTGCAAGTTTCTGAACGTCGTGTTACTCCAAACGAGGCTACAGTAATTTAAATGGAACTGAAACAGGGCATTGTATATTAATAGTTTCACGTTAACGGGTAGGGAAGAACCGTGACGGTATATTAGTCCTATAACACGTGACAGTTTTGTGGCTAAGTGTTCAATGTGGTTATCCCATGACATTCGTTCTGAAAAAAATACTCCGAGAGTTTTAAAAGTGTTGACGATCTCTATGGGGACGGAGTTCAATACGATGTCTCGCATTATTATTACACTCTTGTTTTTTGGCCGAAAGATTATGGCTTTTGTTTTCTCGGTATTAATGTTCAGACCATTATCTCGTGACCAGGCGTACAATTTAGACAATGTTAAATTGGCGACATCGATAAGTTCATCGCTGCTTGTACCGGAAAAAAATATGCTGCTGTCGTCAGCATATATTACAAATTTTGCCGATGGATTTATATTGACAATATGATTTATATAGATGTTAAAAAGAAGTGGTCCAGTTATACTCCCCTGTGGGACGCCAGACTTAACTGGTTTGATATCAGATGAATATTTACCAATGGAAACATACTGTTTGCGATGGTGTAAATAGGACCTCAAAAGCGATAAAGGCAAACCGCGAATACCATATAAATCAAGTTTACGAAGTAATATATTGTGATTTATGTAGTCAAATGCTTTTGTAAAGTCGATAAATACACCCAGAACAAGCTTTCTTTTATCGAAGTTTTTCAGAATGAATTCTTTTTGCTCCAGCAGTGCAAACTCAGTTGATAGATTTTTTCTAAACCCAAACTGTGCGGAGGTGAGCAAATTGTGTTTATCGGTAAACTGTACTAAACGAGCCTGTATAATGTTTTCTAGTGATTTCGAAAATACAGGAAGAATAGAAATAGGTCGATAGTTACTGAGTATGTTCTTATCTCCCTTCTTATGCAAAACAGATACTTTCGCTCTCTGCATTCCGGCAGGAAAAACTGCAGTTGTTAGAGATAAATTAAAAATGTAGCACAGACATGGTGTTAATATGCCGACAACATACTTTATCGTTCGAATTTGTAAATCATCGCAGTCACAACAACTGCTATTTTTAACTGCATAAAAACAGAATACACCTGAGAATCTGTGACCGGTTCCAACAAAATTGAGTGGTTATTTCGAAAGTCTATGTATTTACAAGATTCATTGGCATTGCTGCTGTCACTAACCAAGTTTCCAAAGTAGTCGCTGAAAGTATTGGCTAGGGAGCATCCAGTCAAGGACACTCCTTCGTGAACGATCTTTTCAACATGCTGTTGTGTTGAACCGCTAACCGTTAGAGAGTTTAACGTCCGCCAGACTTGATCCACATGTGCAGACTGTTTCTGGAAAACGTTAGTGTAATAAAGAGCCTTAGCATTTCTTAGTAGCTTTGTTAGTTGGTTCCGGTATGATTTGAACCTTGAAAGCTGTAATGGATCTCTCGTTTTGATAAATTTCTGATATAGCAAGTTTTTTATGCGTATTTTATCAAGCATGAGCTTCCCTACTCATCCTCAAGAGCTGCGCTCCAATTCGGCGTTACAGGGATTTGTAAACGGCTTTCATTTTTTTGAGCAACGCTCACCATGGTATGCGCAGTGGATTTTCCGTAGATGTCCGGGATTTGTTTTATTTCATCCCTCATGAGCCCCTCTACCTTGCGGTAAGAGATTGCATCGACCTGAGCGGGGTTGCGGTTTTTCAGGGCTCTTGTGGTATTAATGTTGAGGGTTTCCTTGAGCTTTTGTGCTTTTAGTTTTTTCAAGAACGTTTATTTTAGTTAAAAAACACGTTCGTGACGTTTCAGGCAGTGTTTATTTAGAAAAGAAGAGAATTTGCATCAGTGCCAGTGTCGCGCCCGTTTTGTGCAATATCTTTTTAAGTAAGTGCGGAAAGGCAATAGCGGATAGCTCGGAGATGAGTGATGGCAAATACAAGGTATTTAGGTATGTAGATAATTTTCTCATCCTTGGACGTAATCCCGATCTCTCTAGCTGTGAAGTTTCAGAGACGCTAAAGGTATTCAATTCTTGCTGCCACGGATTGTCATTGACTGAAGAGACACCTAAAGACGGAATTATGTAATTTCTTTACCTCAAGCTCAGTTTTCTAGGTGAGCATATTTGCTGGGAGTATTCCCCTAGAT